ATTTCTTGAACCTGGGAGGTGGAGGTTGCAGTGAGTTAAGATTGCGCCACTGCACTCCAGCCTGGGTGATACAGCGAGTCTCTACCTCAAATAGTAATAATACATTAGCCGAGTGTGGTGGCTCATGCCTATAAGCCCAGCACTTTGAGAGGCTTGGTAGAAGGATCGCTTGAGCTTAGGAGTTCAAGGCCAGCCTGGGCAACACAGTAAAACCCCATCTCTTAAAAAAAAGAAGAAGAAAAACCCAAATAAATTTTTTTAAAAACAAAAAAAAAAAAAAAAAGAAAAAAGCCACCATTCGTTGGGTTTTATCCCAGTAATGCAAAGATGGTTCAATATCAAAAAATGTATCCATCTAGCTCACCACATTAATTGGCTAAAAGAAAAAAAAAGCAGCCTATGGTTATCTAACAGCTCAAACACTTAAAATATTCACAATAAAAAAATCTGCCAGATTAAAAAAAAAATCTTTACTCACTCTTTCCAAGCAACAAAATCCTCTTCCCAGTCCTGTTACATAATAGGAATGACGTTTGCCACTTGCAAACAGGCAGCCAAATTATATTTTGCCATTTGCATGTAACCTCTTGGACAGAATGGCTTTTATTGGTGTAAAGTTCCATTCAGAACTCTCTAGTTCCTGGGTTTCTACGGTGGAGGGATTAAGGGTGCATGTTCTAGAGTCACGACAAACTGAACTTGATTTCCAGCTTCATCTCTGAGGTCTTGGGCAGCTTGTTTCACCTTTTAATTCCTCAGTTTCTTCATCTGTAAAATGGGTCAGGTATTAGAACTGGAAATGAAGTTGGCCAGGTGCAGTGGCTTACACGTGTAATCCAAGCACTTTGGGAGGCCAAGGCAGGCAGATGGCTTGAGGCCAGGAGTTTGAGACCAGCTTGGCCAACGTATGGAAATCCTGTCTCTACTAAAAATATAAAAATTAGCCAGGCATGGTGGCGTGCGCCTGTAGTCCCAGCTACTCTGGAGGCTGAGGCACAAGAGTCACTTGATCCCGGGAGGCGCAGGTTGCAATGAGCCGAGATTGCGCCACTGCACTCCATCCTGGGCGACAGAGTGAGACTGTGTCTCAGAAAAAGATAAAAAATAACTGGAAGGAAGTTGAGCTCAGATCTGGTCTTTTCCAAAGGTCTATTATAGTCATGACTACCTGTATGTACAGACATAGAGGAGACGGATGAGAAACTAATGATAATGATAACAGTATTTATTAGTTACTTACTGTATTCTAGGCACTATTCTAAACAGTGTACATGGATTTATTCGAATTCTCAAGTTTTCCTGAGAGATTGCATGCAGACTTAAGATCCTGTTTTGTTTAGTGTTATATTTATTTATTTTTTCCCCACCGCCTCCTTCCCCTCGTTTTTTTTTTATTTTTTTAAATTGTTTTAATTTTTTACTAGAGACAGGTCTCACACTGTTGCCCAGGCTGGTCTTGAACTCCTGGCCTCAAGTGATCCTTCCACTTCAGCCTCCCAAAATAATGCTGGAATTACAGATGTGAGCCACCGTGGCCAGCCCAGTGTTATATTTTTGATGCTTAGAATAGTACCTGTATGCAGTAGGTACTCAATATGTATATGAGTAATAGTGAGGACTTACTAGGTATCAGGCATTGTATTAATCCTCACAATGACCCACATGAGATAGTTGGATCATTATCTCCATTTCCAAGATAAGCAAACAGCATCAGGGGTTCAATGATTTAAGCCAAGCTCACACAACTAGGAAATACTCAAACTGAGATTCGAACCCAGGCAGTCGGGCACTAGTATTTGCATCCTCAACCATTGTCATGCCTTGCTATTTGCTCCTTGATGCAAAACTCCTGTATTTTGCTTGTTAAATCACATGGAGCCTGGTGACTCATGCCTCTAATCCCAGCACTTTGGGAGGCTGAGGCAGGAGGATCCCTTGAACTCAGAAGTTTGAGACCAGCCTGGGCAACATAGCCAGACCCCATCTCTACTAAAAATTATTGAAAAAAAAATCAGGCGAGTGTGGTGATGCGGGCCTGTAGTCCCAATTACTCAGGAGACTGAGGCAGGAGTATCCCTTGAGCCCGGGAGGTCAAGGTTGCAGTGAGCCATGATGGCACCACTGCACACCAGCCTGGGGAAGGAGTCAGAGCAAGACCCTGACTCAAACGAAACAAAACAGCAACAAAAAAGCTCACAAGGAGCTATGTTTTCCTGTCTGCCTCTCTCGCTTGTCATAGGGAAGCCCTAAAGAAAATGAAGGATGTCTATGAGAAGACACCCCAGATGGGAGACCCTGCCAGCTTGGAGCCCCAGATCGCTGAAACCCTGAGCAACATCGAACGGCTGAAATTGGACGTGCAGAAGTATGAGGTCAGAAAAGACCCTGGGGAGTGGCGGGAGCCAGCGTGCCTGGCTGAGTCACTGCCGGGTGGGGGTAGGGGTGGGGTCCGGGGGTCAGGGATAGGGGAGGTATTCGGAGCTGGGGGTCTCCAACTGTTTTCCATCACAGCCTTGGCTGTGCATGGGTGATGTCAGGGAACCTCTGAGTCCAGAGTGGGCTGACCCCAGAGCTCTGCCCTGGCACGATTTTGCCGTCCCCTCCTCCCAGGCGTGGCTGGCAGAAGCTGAAAGTCGAGTCCTTAGCAACCGGGGAGACAGCCTGAGCCGGCACGCCCGGCCTCCCGACCCCCCTGCTAGCGCCCCACCAGACAGCAGCAGCAACAGCGGATCACAAGACACCAAGGAGAGGTGAGGGGTGACGCCAGAGTGAGTCTGTTCCCAGGGTCCCAGGGGGGCGTGTCTTTATCTGCCGAGTTCTCCCCAAACAGCTCTGAAGAGCCTCCCTCAGAAGAGAGCCAGGATACCCCCATTTACACGGAGTTTGATGAGGATTTCGAGGAGGAACCCACATCGCCCATAGGTCACTGTGTGGCCATCTACCACTTTGAAGGTGAGAATGGCCAGAGTGGGCTTGGCGGGGTTGGGCGGCAGTGTCTCTAGCTAGGTTCAGTTTAAATTTGCCTAAAGCAGGGCTGGGCGGGTGGCTCAGGCTTGTAATCCCAGCAGTTTGGGAGGCTGAGGCAGGCAGATCACTTGAGGTCAAGCATTCCAGACCAGTCTGGTGAACATGTTGAAACCCCATCTCTACTAAAAATACAAACATTAGCCAGGTGCGGTGGCACACGCCTGTGATCCCAACTACTCAGGAGGCTGAGGCAGGAGAATCCCTTGAACCCAGGAAGCGGAGCTTGCAGGGAGCTGAGATCGCGCCATTGCACTCCAGCCTGGGCGACAGAACGAGACTCAGTCTCAAAAATAAAAAATAAAAATAATACATTTGCCTAAAGCAGATCTGGGCCCACCCCCACCCCCATCACAGGGTCCAGCGAGGGCACCATCTCTATGGCCGAGGGTGAAGACCTCAGTCTTATGGAAGAAGACAAAGGGGACGGCTGGACCCGGGTCAGGCGGAAAGAGGGAGGCGAGGGCTACGTGCCCACCTCCTACCTGCGAGTCACACTCAATTGAACCCTGCCAGAGGCGGGAAGACGGGGGGCTGTCGGTTGCTGCTTCTGGGCCACGGGGGGCCCCAGGACCTATGCACTTTATTTCTGACCCCGTGGCTTCGGCTGAGACCTGTGTAACCTGCTGCCTCCTCCATCCCCAACCCAATTCCACCTGTCACTCCGGACGGACCCGCTGTGCCTTCTACCATCGTTCCACCATTGATGTACATACTCATGTTTTACATCTTTTCTTCCTGCCGCTCGGCTCCGGCCATTTTGTTTTATACGAAAATGGAAAAAAAAAAAAAAAGAAATTACATAAAGTTCCTGGAGTCGGTGCCTTATTAGAGGATTTAGATACTGGGACTGGAAGGATCTAACACCACGTTTCTTACAGGCCACACAGGGAACAAGGACGGGAAGGTGATCTTGGGCACACCTTGGGTCAACCCTGCCCCCTTCTGGAAGTTGGCCTATATCATTGTCAGTGGGTGTCTGCTTGGGACTCAGGTAGGGAGAAGGATACCAAGTTTCCTTTTCTTTTTCTTTTTTCTTTTTGAGACAGCCTTACGCAGTTGCCCAGGCTGGAGTGCAGTGGCGTAATCTCAGCTCACTGCAGACTCCACCGCCCGGGTTCAAGCAATTCTGCCTCAGCCTCCCAAGTAGCTGGGATTACAGGTGCACACCACCACGCCCAGCTAATTTTTTGTATTTTCTGTAGAGGCGGGGTTTTGCCATGTTGGCCAGGCTGGTCTCGAACTCCTGACCTCAAGTGGTCCATCCACCTCGGCCTCCCAAAGTGCTGGGATTATGGGTGTGAGCTACCGCGCCCGGCCGGGACACCAAGTTTCATCCCTTGTGAATGCAGTGCAGCTTCTGAGAATGGGTAGCACTTATTGAGGACCTACTGTGTGCCAGGCATTCTCCACCTGCGGTCTCATTCCCAGCCACAATTCTTAGAAAGTACACAGCCTCAACTTTTACATTTTGTAAAAGTTTTTTATTTTTCAGTTTTTGTAGAGATGAGGTCTCACCATGTTGCCCTGGCTGGTCTTGAACTCCTGGCCTCAAGCCTTCCTTCCGCCTCGGCCTCCCAAAGTGCTGAGATTACAGGCCTGAGCTGCTGCACAGCCATGATTTTGTTAAAGGCAGACACAGAGAGGTGAAGTGATCTGCTAGAAATCACAGCTTTTAAGAAGCGGAGTCACATTTGAACTCTGGCCTCTGATGCCAGATCTGCAGGTCACATGTTCACCATGCCCCGGATGACCCTGAGTGCCCTCCCCACCTCTGCTGTGAGGCACAGGGCAGGTTTCCGCCTGAGGACGTGAGGAGCCTGGGACGACTCCTTCGGTCTCTTCCGGGGTCTTCAAAAACCTGGGGGTCCCGGGTGTGAAGAAAGGGGTCTGCGCTCTCAGCTGTCAGGCTCCAGGCGCTGTGACAGGACGCCGAGGACGCGCTGGAACTTCTCAAAGCGTTCAGCGCGCGGAGCTCCCGCGCCCCGGCTACCCCAGAGCAGCCTCCGCAGGAAGCCGGTGGTCAGGGCCTCCCTCAGCTCTGGGTTAGGCCGGAATCCTGGAAACAAGGTCAGGTGGGCTGGGGGCGGGGCCCAGGCGCCCGCCTCGCCCCTCCCAACCTCCCGCACCTGCCTTTCCCCTGAGGACTTTGACCCAACAGCGGCCCGGGAGGGACTTGCCCCACCTGCGGGATGACTAGGCGGGGTCAGAGGGGAGGGGGCTTCCAGCCCTCTGCAGGAATGGGGGTGGGGTGCCTGAGGGGCTCTACTAGAGTGCAAGGGGGTGGCCTGTTCCAGGTGCCAGATCCTGGGGGTCCCGCCTTAGGGGCTGTGCCTGGACGTGGGGCTGCACTGGTGGCGGGATCCCAGGTTGTCGGGGAAGGTGGGGGATCCTGTCGGCTGGGCTGCCCTAGGATAGGAGGGAGGAATCGTTTGGAGGGAGCAGGGCGTTCCTCGAGATCGAGATCCCTGGGGTGCGGGATCGTTCTAGGTGGGAAGGGGGAGTGGGGACCCGCGGAGGTGGCTCTGGGGGCAGGACAGCCCGCTTTGAGGTAGACGGCCCTGTTCCTATCAATACCGCTGGAAGCAGCGTTTGCTTGGGGTGAGAACCTTCCTGGAGTGGAGACGTCCCAGTTTGGGTGGGGCTCCGGGAGGCGTGGCGAGAGGCTCCCTTCCTGGGACAGGTTGGGTTTGGGGGTCCGGCCAGAGCTTGCCGGATCTGAAGTCTGCAGTACAGAGCAGAGGGAACGCTCACCTCGCAGGCGCTGGGCTGCCACCTTGCGGAATTTGGGTGCGTCCCGGGCCATGTGACGCGCCCCGTGCAGGGTGCGCAACAGCCGCTCGCAGCTCTCATCCAGCGGACCTGCGACTTCCTCGCCCTCCAGCAGGCGCACCGTGGGTGCCACGTGCGGCAGCGCCACCTCGCCGGGGTCGCAGGGTCCTGCGGAGGGGGAGGGTCTGATCTGGGTTTGGGGCTGTAGATAGGGCATGGGGCAGAGATGGAACCTAGGACAGATGCAAGGGCGGGGCTTAGGATTGAGCGACAGCGGGGTCTGTGGACAGGGGCCAGGATCACAAGCCCCGTATGGGGGGCGGGGTCTATGGCGAAGGGGCGGAGCCTAGGGAAAGGGGCTGGGATCAAGGCTGGTAAGGGGGCGTGGCCCTAGGAACAAGTCCCGTGTGGAGGGCAGGGCCTAGAACTGATGTAGGAACAGGGCATAGGACTAGATTAAGATTTCTGTTAAATTTGGTCTGGGCCCCCGGAGGATGCCAAGCCCCAGACCTTCACTCACCAACGCCCTCATCCAGAGCCCGCATCAGCGGCTTCAGTTCCTGTTCAAAGGCCAGCGCAGCCTCCGTGTGGCTCCTTCGGAGCTGGCGCCACGTGTGCTCCAACCGGGACACCTGGGAGAAGAGACCTGCGCATGCCTCCTCTCCTGTCTTCCCAGTCACCCGCACTCCAGCTTCCTCCACTCCCTGCTCCCCACGAACCTGGGGCATGAGCAGGGCGCCCATGACCGCAGCCAGCCCGGGCAGGTCCCCCGCTGCCCCTGGCCGCAGCGCCAGCGCCAGCTCTACCAGGCCCCTCAGTGCGGCTGCGCGCTCCTCCAGCGGCCCCGAGCAGCCCAGCACTGCCAGTGCCCCGGCCAGCGCCAGTGTCTCATGCCTGCAGAAGCGGAGGGCAAGGGTCTGGGGGCAGTGGGGAGGTTTGTAATGCAGGGGTGAGGGGGGATAGGATGTGGCATTGCCCCATCTCCCTTCTTCCCTGAGGAACCATGAGTGGGGAGCTGTTTGGAGACTTTCGGAAGTCGGGGGGAATTGGCCTTCCCCAGCCAAGATTCCAAGCGGCTGGCTCACCTCTCTAGCAGTTCCAACCTCAAGCGACATCCATGGGGAAGAGTGAGCAGCTCCAGGCCAGATGAGACCCCCATGTTGTCCCGCTGAACCCTGGTCACTCCCAGGAGGCCTGTGGCCTGCGGAAGGGAATGGGGAAGTCAGGTGAAGTGTGATTATGTAGGTATGGTGGGGTCTTGCCCTGGGCCTGGGGAGGAGCATCTCAGCAGGTGACCCACCTGGCAGTCTACCAATAGCAAGTGAAGGGCAGTGCTCCCAGGATGGTGTTCCAGGAACAGGCCACGGAGAGTATGCAGGACTTGGGGTTCCAGGGGCCGATTCTGGGGGCCCAGGAGGCAGGAGGGGGTATCAGGGGGGCAGAAAGAGATCTCAGCCTGTGGTCTTGTAAAACATCTGTTCTCTTCCTCCTCATCCTCCTCAGCCTCCCACCATGGGGCCTCTGGCTCTGGGCAGCTTTGGCTCAGGGATGTTCCCTGGACACAGGGTACTCGGGGCACCAGCTCGCAGTACGTTGGGGGACGTTCAGAGGCATCAGGAAGTTCGAAGGAGGGTGTCCGGGGAGGCTTCGCTGGTGCCTTGGCTTGAAGCTGCCCATCGGAGGCTCTGAGACTGTTGGCAACAGTTCCCAGGGGAGCAGGGGCCTTCAGCAACACGGGGTCACTGCCCGTTCGGGGCAAGGCAGATACGGGCGTGGCGAAGGCTTCTGGAGATCATACAAGAGGGGTCAATGGGAATACACAGAGAAGATTGCTGAATGGGCGGGGGTGAGAGCTTCATGGGCTACTACCCACCTGATCCATCCACTCATTCCAATAATGGGGTACCCCAACCTATCCAGGGGCAGTTTTGAATTTCAACAACCTCAACAGTAGAAATGCTAACATGCTTACACATGGTTGGAAAACTTTGGCATCTCTATTGTTCTGTAAATTCTTTTTAAAAAATTTTTATTTTATTTTATAGAGATGGGATCTCACTCAGTTGCCCAGACTGGTGGACTGGTGTGGAATTCCTAGTCTCAAGCAAGCCTCCCTCCTTGGCCTCCCAAAGTGCTGGGATCACAGGCATGAGCCACCTTGCCTGACCCTATGAATTCTGAATACTACATTTTAAATTTGAATTCTTTGTTTTTGCCCCTCTGACTGAAAGATGGTAAGCAGTGACCCCACGAAATTAAAATTTTTTTTCAAAGGAAAGGATGAAGGTGGTGGTTGATGCCTGTAATCTCAGCATTTTGGGAGGAGTCAAGGTGAGAGGATCGCTTGAGGCTAGGGATTCCAGACCAGTCTGGGCAACATAACAAGATCTTGTCTCTACAAAAAGTTAGAAAATTAGCTGGTATGATGGCATGCACCTGTGGTCCCAGCTACTTGGGAGGCTGAGGTGGGAGGATCACTTGAGCCAGAGGCTGCAGTGAGGTATGACTGCACCACTGCACTCCAGCTTGGATGACAGAGTGAGACCCTATCTCAAAAAAAAAAAAAAGATATCTATGTATCTATAATTAAGTATAGATATATCTCTCTATGTCATATCTATACAGATAGATATCTATATATTATATAAATATATAATATATACTTAAGTATATAAAAATTAACATTAAATATATAATGTTGCCCTATATATTATATATAATTACATTTATATATGATAGATATTTTACTTTTCTTTTTTATGATAATATATATAATATCTCTCCATAGATATATCTATATAAATATATATAATTAATACAGATATCTATAGAGAGGCAGAAAGTATAAAAAATTCACAACCAAACCATGTATGGTATGACACTCAGATAAGTATCAAAGAAACCAAGCTTATTAAACTTTCTTTTTCTTTTTTTTTCTTTTTTATTTCTTCTAAACAAACAAAAAAGCAACAACAACAAAAAACAGGATACACGTGCAGAATGTGTAGGTTGGTTACACGAGTATCCGTGTGCCATGGTGGTTTTTGCTGCACCTACTGGATCCCTCCTCTCAGTCCCCTCCCCTCATCCTAAACTTTTAAATGATGTCATTTGTAAGTTGGTGGCATGTTGACCTCCTGGACTATTAGTACTTAAAACTGTACTAAGACTTTTGGGAGACTGTATTTACCATGCCTTTGAATAGGCTCTTTTCTAGGAACTTGAAACCATCCAACAGTGCCTGGCTCACTCTGAGTTAATTAAGGTCCAAAGTGCTCACTGTAGCTGAAAAATCCTCACAATCTGAGTCCCAGGGTCTCTCTCTCTGACTCTCCCCTCATTCCCTCTGCTTCAGCTACACTCATCTGTCCCTCCTTCCCTCCCTCCCTCCCTCCCTCCCTTCATTCCTTCCTTCCTTTCTTTTCTTTCTTGACGGAGTCTCACTCTGTCACCAGGCTGGAGTGCAGTGGCGCCATTTCAGCTTATTGCAACCTCTGCCTCCCAGGTTGAAGTGATTCTCCTGCTTCAGCCTCCTGAGTAGCTGGGACTACAGGCGCCACCACACTCAGCTAATTTTTGTATTTTTAGTAGAGATGGGGTTTCACCATGTTGACCAGGATAGTCTTGATCTCGACCTCGTGATCCGCCTGCCTCGGCCTCCCAAAGTGCTGGGATTACAGGCATAAGCCACTGCACCCGGCCCTTTCTTTTCTTCTTTCTTTTAAAATTTGAGACAGGGTCTCACCCTCTGTGGCCCAGGCTGGAGTGCAATGGTGCAATCACGGCTCACTGCAGCCTTGACTTCCTGGGCTCAAGTATCCTCCTGCTTCAACCTTCCAAGTAGCTAGGACCACAGGGGTGCAACATTACGCCCAGCTACCCACTTATTTTTTGGTTGAATGAACAGCTTAAATTTTTTTTATTTTTATTTTTTTGAGACGGAGTCTCGTTCTGTCGCCCAGGCTGGAGTGCAGTGGCGTGATCTCGGCTCACTGCAAGCTCCGCCTTCCGGGTTCACACCATTCTCCTGCCCCAGCCTCCTGAGTAGCTGGGACTATAGGCGTCGCCACCTCGCCCGGCTAGTTTTTTGAAGTTTTAGTAGAGACAGGGTTTCACCGTGTTAGTCAGGAGGGTCTCGATCTTCTGACCTTGTGATCTGCCCGCCTGGGCCTCCCAAAGTGCTGGGATTACAGATGTGAGCCACTGCGCCTGGCCTAACAGCTTAAATTCTTGTTCTGCCCCGAGAGCCTTTGCACTGCCTCTTCCTTCTGCCTGGTTATCCCCCAGTTATCCACCTTGTTCCCTCCCTCATTTCCTTCAATTTTATTTTTTTCTGCAATGGGGCCTTTCCTGTCTACTATTTAAAATTGCTTGCCTGGGTGCAATGGCTCACGCCTGTAATCCCAGCACTTTGGGAGTTCGAGGTGGGTAGATCGCCTAAGGTCAGGAGTTTGAAGACCAGCCTGACCAAAATGGTGAAACTCCATCTCTACTAAAAATACAAAATTAGCAGGGCGTGGTGCACATGCCTGTAATCTCAGCTACTCAGGAGGCTGAGGCAGGAGAATCGGTTGAACCCAGGAGGTGGAGGTTGCAGTGAGTTGATATTGCGCCATTGCACTCCAGCCTGGGCAACAAGAGCAAAACTCTATCTCAAAAATAAATAAACAAATAAACAAACAGACAAACAAATATAAAATAAAATTACAATACACATCTCCATCTTTATAGTCCCTATCTCCCTTACTCTGTTTTTTGTTTGCTTTGGTTTTTTTGAGACAGAGTCTCACTCTGTCGCCCAGGCTGGAGTGCGGTGGCGTAATCTCGGCTCACTGCAACCTCCACCTCCCAGGTTCAAGCAATTCTCCTGCCTCAGCCTCCTGAGTAGCTGGGATTACAGGCATATGCCACCACACCTGGCTAATTTTTTTTTTTTTTTTTAGTAGAGATGCGTTTTCACCATGTTGGCGAGGCTAGTCTCGAACTCCTGACCTCAAGTGATCCACCCACCTCGGCCTCCCAAAGTGCTAGGATTACAGACCTGAGCCACCTCACCCTTCCCTTGCTGTTTTATTATTATTTATTATTTATTTTTTATTTTTTTGAGACAGAGTCTCACTCTGTTGTCTAGGCTGGAGTGCAATGGCGCGATCTTGGCTCATGGCAACCTCTGCCTCCTGGGTTCAAGCAATTCTCCTGCCTCAGGCTCCCGACTAGCTGGGATTACAGGCGTGCACCACCACGCCCAGCTAATTTTTGTAGTTTTAGTAGAGACGGGGTTTCTCCATGTTGGCCAGGCTGGTCTCGAACTCCTGACTTCAGGTGATCCACCCACCTCGGCCTCCCAAAGTGCTGGGGATTACAGGCCTGAGCCACTGTGCCTGGCCTTCCCTTACTGTGTTTTGATTTTCACCTTGAAGCAAACAAAATTGCCTTATTTCTGTGGTTCCTGGTTTGTTGTCCTTTCATAGACTGTTGGCTCCCACCGGGCAGGGATCTTTGTGTCTTTCTGGTTCACTGATGTATCCTAGCCCTCTGTGCAGGGCCTGGGATGCAGGAAGGGCTCATGTTGAATGGGGTTGGGAGAAGGATGGGAAAAAAGGAGCATGAGGGGGCATTCAGGTGAGTCTTCCTTTAGGTAAGACTGTCAGACTCAACTGCTTTGAGGAACTTACCCTGGATGGAGAGGAGCCATTCAGGAAAAAATTAGGGGAATGAGAATGTTTGTGTCACTGGTGGAAATGTAAAGTACAAAGGCCCCAAGGCAGGAATAAAAGCCTGAGGGTTCGAACAACTGCAAGGAGGGCTGTGTGACTAGCATGAGGAGGGTATGTAGCAGAAGTTGTTAGCAAGGTAAGCTGTGGTCAGAACAGGTACAGCTCCTTGGAATAATTGTAAACACCCTTTTTTTTTTTTTTTTTTTTTTTGAGATGGAGTTTTGTTCTGTCACCCAGGCTGGAGTGCAGTGGCATCATCTCGGATCACTGCAACCTTCGCCTCCCGGGTTCAAGCAATTCTCCTGCTGCAGCCTCCCGAGTAGCTGGGATTACAGGTGCATGCCACCATGCTCGGCTAATTTTGTGTTTTTAGTGGAGATGGAGTTTCACCACGTTGGCCAGACCTCAAATGATCCACCAGCCTCGGCCTCCCAAAGTGCTGGGATGACAGGCATGAGCCACTGTGCTCAGCCTTGTAAACACACATTTTAAGCACCCACAAAGTCCCTGAGTGTTTCAAGTCATCGCGATTGTCATCATTTTCTAAAGCAAGAAATTGAGGCTCCAACAGGTTCCTGCACCTGACTAAGATCTCTTAGGTGGTGAGTTGCAAAGCCAATCCCTGAACCACAGGCGGTTCTGGTAGACACTCACCTATCCCAGTGGGGTCTTCGCTTGACTGTCCCATATGTGCCAAATCTGCAGGCTGACTGTTGCTCCACTTCCTTGCCCTGGGGGACAGAGTGGGAGAGACCTGTAGTCCCCACCTAAGCAGAGTGTCCCTCACCAATATCTGGAAAACCCTGTGTCCAGTTACTCTGTACCAGTGAGTCTCAACCACCCAAGGTGACCTGCGTCCAGGGGACTCTTAGCAACGTGTGGAGACATCTTTAGTTGTCACGACTAGTAGCATCTAGTTGGATGGAGCTCAGAAATGCTGCTCAACATCCTACGATGCACACGACATCTCCACCTCCTCCCCCACAACTAAAAACGTTCGGGCCTCAAAACTCAACCAAGGCCAGGCGCGGTGGCTCACACCTGTAATCCCAGCACTATGGGAGGCCGAGGCGGGTGGATCACTTCAGGTCGGGAGTTTGAGACCAGCCTGGCCAACAGGGTGAAACCCTGTCTCTACTAAAAATACAAAAAATTAGCCTGGCGTGGTGGCTCATGCCTGTAATCCCAGCACTTTGGGAGGCCGAGGCAGGTGGATCACTTGAGGTCAGGAGTTTGAGACCAGCCTGGCCAACATGGTGAAACCCTGTTTCTACTAAAAATACGAAAAATTAGCTAGCATGGTGGTGCACTCCCGTAATCCCAGCTACTCGGGAAGCTGAGACAGGAGACTCGCTTAAACCCGGGAGGCGGAGGTTGCAGTGAGCTGAGATCGTGCCATTGCACTCCAGCCTGGGCAACAGAGTGAGACTTTGACTCAAGAAAGAAATAAAAAACAAAAAAATAAAAAAATTAGCTGGGCGTGGTGGTGCACTCCTGTAATCCCAGCTACTTGGGAGGCTGAGGCAGGAGAATCGCTTGAACCTGAGAGGTGGAGGTTGCAGTGAGCTGAGATCACACCACTGCACTCCAGCCTGGGCAACAGAGTGAGACTCAGTCTAAAAAAAAAAAAAAAAAAAAAAAGGGGCCGGGCGCGGTGGCTCAAGCCTGTAATCCCAGCACTTTGGGAGGCCGAGACGGGCGGATCACGAGGTCAGGAGATCGAGACCATCCTGGCTAACACGGTGAAACCCCGTCTCTGCTAAAAAATACAAAAAACTAGCCGGGCGCGGTGGCGGGCGCCTGTAGTCCCAACTACTCGGGAGGCTGAGGCAGAAGAATGGCGTGAACCCGGGAGGCGGAGCTTGCAGTGAGCTGAGATCCGGCCACTGCACTCCAGCCTGGGCGGCAGAGCCAGACTCTGTCTCAAAAAAAAAAAAAAAAAAAAAAAAAAAGAAAGTCAACCATTGAGTTGGAAAACCCTGAGAGTGCTGGGTGTTCTTAAGGAGGCAGGGAGACTGTGAGTACCTGAGAGGCTCTGTCCGAGCCGGGCCATCCATCAGGGTGTCCTCGCTAAAGCTGCGTCGCAGAGGCCTCTGCCAAGTCACAGGCCTGGAGACCACAGCCCCTGTGGCCTGGGACAGTGGGCGCCTGCCTGTCACATAACTGCGAACCAGAGCGGGCATGCTGGGGAACTGCTCATCCTCCAGCTGAAAGAGAGCTGTGGGTCGGCCTGGCCGGGGACGCAGGGCCACACGGAACACCTCGAAATGGAGGGCTGAGCCCCGCCAGCGGCAGGAGATCACGGGGTGGCCCCCACGAGACCCAGAGGCACGAACCAGGAAGTCGCCATCTTGCTGAAGAAGAGCTTCAGCCTTCTGTGGATGGAGGTCAGGGGGCAGAGGAATTAAGAATGAGCCCAGAGCAGTGGTTAATGGTGTCTCCCCCCATCATCACCCCCACCACCCAAGAAAAGCTACCCCAGTGAAACTTCTGTGGCAGACAAAGACTGGGAAGTTTCACACCAAGTTCTGTCCCCTATTCTGCTGGCACCTATGTAGACTACATTTCCCAGGCTCCCTTGCAGCTAGGGTTGTCATGTGATAACTGGCCAATGGGATGTGGGGTAGAAGGGCTATGGGAAATATCCAGACCTGGTCCATAAAACCCTCCTGCACAGTCTTGTAGGTTCTGTCCCCTATCTGTCAGCTGATATCCCCAAAGCCCTGAGGGATGACAGAACTACATGATACACTTGGCTCCCGACTGATTTATGGAGCTTTGCATCTCCACTTCTCAACCACCTTGGACTATGACATTAACATATTGACTGTGTTTAGCTGGTGATATATTGGGAATGTTTGTAACTAGCCACTAGGTGATGCTGACCGATGCAACATCCAATTTGGTAAATGCACTGGGCTTGTTATGCAAATATGGCTTCAAGAGACGCCATTAGCTGGATGCTTCCAGATTGGGGCCCCCTCTTTTATAAACATTTGCAAGCAGTCTTATGCTAGCTGTGGTGGCTGGTGTCAGAATAGGGTAGGAAGGGTGGGGCACAGTGGTTCACACCTGTAATGCCAGCACTTTGGGAGGCTGAGGCAGGCAGATTACTTGACATCAGGAGTTTGAGACCAGCCTGGGCAACATGGCAAAACCCTGTCTTTACCAAAAAATATAAAAATTAGCTGGGCGTGGTGGTGTGCACCTGTCATTCCAGCTACTCAGGAGGCTGAGGTGGGAGAATTGCTTGAACCCAGGAGGCAGAGGTTGCAGTGAACCGAGACGGAGCCATTGCATTCCAGCATGGGTGACAGAGCGAGATCATGTCCCAAAAAAAAAAAAAAAAAAAAAAATGGTGTGGGGCAGCAGGCAGAAAGGCCAGGACCCCAGAGACAGGCAAAGTAGAGGTGAATGTGGAGTCTGGGCACTGAATAATAGATGTAGCAGACACACGTGTAACCCTTACTATATGTCAAGCACTGCTTTAAATGTAAAGGGTATTAACTCCTGTAATTCCTGTAACAAGGGTGGTAGGTATTATTATACCTTTTTTCTTTTTTTTTCTTTGAGACGGAGTTTTACTCTTGGTGCCCAGGCTGGAGTGCAATGGCACGATCTCGGCTCACTGCAACCTCTGCCTCCCAGGTTCAAGCGATTCTCCTGTCTCAGCCTCCTGAGTAGCTGGGATTACAGGCACGTGCCACCATGCTCAGCTAATTTTTTGTATTTTTAGTAGAGATGGGGTTTCATAATATTGGTCAGGCTGGTCTCGAACTGCTGACCTCAGGTGATCTACCTGCCTCGGCCTCCCAAAGTGCTGGGATTACAGGCACGAGTGACCATGCCTGGCCCATTTTTTTTTCCAGCCTTTTTTTTTTTTTTTTTGAGTCAAGGTCTCTCTCGATTGCCCAGGCTGAGTGCAGTGGAGCAATCATGGCTCACCCACAGCCTTGACCTCCTGGGCTTAAGCAATCCTCCCATCTCAGCCTCCTGAGTAGTTGGGACAACAGTTACATGCCACCTATGCCTGGCTAATTTTTGTATTTTTTCTTTTTTTTTGTAGAGACAGAGTTCTGCTATGTTGCCCAGACTGGTTTGGGACTCCTAACCTCAAGTGATCCTCCTGCCTCAGCCTCCCAAAGTGCTGGGATTACAGGCATGAGCCAACATGCCTGGCCTGCTATCCCTATGTTAAAGATGGGGAGACTGAGGCCCAGAGAGGTCAAATACCCTGCCCAAGGTCACACACAATATAAGTTGTAGGGTTTGGATTTGAACCTAGGGTGTCTGGGTCTAGATTATGGGCTTTTACCTTTTTTTTTTTTTTTGAGACGGAGTCTCTGTCTGTGGCCCGGGCTGGAGTGCAGTGGCCGGATCTCGGCTCACTGCAAGCTCCGCCTCCCGGGTTCACACCAATTCTCCTGCCTCAGCCTCCCGAGCAGCTGGGACTACAGGCGCCCGCCACCATGCCCGGCTAATTTTTTTTATTTTTAGTAGAGACGGGGTTTCACCGTGTTAGCCAGGATGGTCTCGATCTCCTGACCTCGTGATCCACCCGCCTTGGCCTCCCAAAGTGCTGGGATTACAGGCTTGAGCCACCACGCCCGGCCCGGGCTTTTAACTATTAAGCTATACTGCTTCTCATGATTTCATTAGATGCTCAGGGTCCCAGAATTTTTGGAGGTGACAACTGAGTTTCAGATGGAGGTGGGAGCCTCAGATTTATTTGTTTGTTTATTTATGTTTTTGACAGAGTCTTACTCTGTCACCCAGTCTGGAGTGCAGTGGCACAATTCTGGCTCACTACAACCTCTGCCTCCTGGGTTCAAGAGATTCTCCTGCCTCAGCCTCCCAAGTAGCTGGGACTACAGGCGCATACCACCACGTCTGGCTAATTTTTGTATTTTTAGTAGAGATGTGGTTTCACCATGTTGTTCAGGCTGGTCTTGAACTCCTGACTTCAAGTGATCCACCTGCCTCGGCCTCTCAAAGTGTTAGGATTACAGGCGTGAGCCGCCATGCCTGGCTCAGGAGCCTCAGATTTAGAGGGAAATACCAGGAGGTAGATGGAGTTCAGAGGGAGAGACAACCTGAGCCAAGAGTGGTTTGGGGGGCATTAGGACTCTCCTTAAGCTTCATCACCAATCTCATCATCCCAAAGAAAGTGATAATTTAAATAATAGTGACAGTCCCCAACCAGCCAACCTTCAAGACAGTCCCCAGCCCTCTGCCATCTGTCCCAATAGACCTTGGCACTAAGTCCCTCATCCAGGGACCCAGGAGTCCTCAGCAAGGGTGGGAGAGACTCCCCACCAGATGGTGCCGAGGCCTTGCTGTGGGTGGTACCTGGCGGGACAGGAGGCCGTGGTACCAGGGTTGGCCAGCAAGGTCTTCTCCATCCTGTGGCACCTGCATGGAGCTCTTGGGGACAGAGGGTTCAAGGGCTGAGCTCTGCACTTGCAACAGGCCTCAGTCGTCCACATCTGTAAAATGGGAATAATTAGCCCTGCTTGAGTGTCTGGGTCAGCTTCTTCTATTCTCTTCTTAATTTTGGAGACAGCTCCATCAAATCTTTTTTTTTTTTTTTGAGACAGAGTTTCATTCTGTCACCCAGGCTGGAGCGCAATGGTGTGATCTTGGCTCACTGCAACCTCTGCCTCCTGGGTTCAAGTGATTCTCCTGCCTCAGCCTCCCAAGTAGCTGGGATTACAAGCATGCACCACCACACCCAGCTAATTTATTTTTATTATTTTTTTTTTTTTGTATTTTTAGTAGAGACAGGGTTTCTCCATGTTGGCCAGGCTGGTCTTGAACTCCTGACTTCAGGTGATCCACCCGCCTCAGCCTCCCCAAAGTGCTGGGATTACAGGCACAAGCCACCGCACCCAGACTTTTTTTTACATTTAAAGAGAGAGGTCTCACTGTGGTGCCCAGGCTGGAGTGCAGTGCCTATTCACAGGTGTGATCATAGCACACTTTAGCCTTGAATTCCTGGGCTCAAGGAATCCTCTAGCCTCAGCCTCTCAAGTAGTGGAGATGACAGATGTCACCATCGTGCCTGTTCCAAATATAATGCAATTTTTATGAAGAAAGAAACATGACTGATGATGACATCATGCCACCCCATCTTGCAGAAATGTAATTAATGAATTCACTGAACCCCCATTTATTGAGCACCTATGGGGTCCCAGGCTCTGTTCTAGTCCCTAGAGACATAGCATTGAACAAAACCGATGGAAATCTCTGGTCTTGGGAACTGACATTCTACTGGGGAGAGGCACTTCAGAAATGAACTAGATGATGGTGTACATGAGTGAGTTCTAGACAAAAAAACTAAACCGCGGATGGGATATAATGAAAGTACAGGTGCTGGGGTGAACACTTTTTTTTTTTTTTTTTTGAGACAGGGTCTTGCTTTGTTGCCCAGGCTGGAGTGCAGTGGTGCAATCACAGCTCATTGCAGCCTTGACCTCCTGGGCTCAAGTGATCCTCCCACTCATCCTTCTGAGTAGCTGGGACTATGAGCATGGGCCACTGTACCTGGCTAATTTTTTTTTTTTTTTTGAGACCGAGTCTCACTCTGTTGCCCAGGCTGGAGTGCAGTGGTGTGATCTCAACTCACTGAAACTTCCACCTCCTGGGTTCAAGCAATTCTTGTGCCTCAGCCTCCTGAGTAGCTGGGACTACAGGCGTGTGACACCATGCCTGGCTAATTTAAAATTTTTTTTTTTTTTTTTTTTTTTTGAGACGGAGTCTCACTCTGTCACCCAGGCTGAAGTGCAGTGGTCAGATCTCAGCTCACTGCAAGCTCCACCTCCCGGGTTTACGCCATTCTCCTGCCTCAGCCTCCCGAGTAGCTGGGACTACAGGCGCCTGCCACCTCGCCTGGCTAGTTTTTTGTATTTTTTTAGTAGAGACGGGGTTTCACCGTGTTAGCCAGGATGGTCTCGATCTCCTGACCTCGTGATCGGCCCGTCTCGGCCTCCCAAAGTGCTGGGATTACAGGCTTGAGCCTGTAGTAGTAGAGATGGGGTTTCTCCATGTTGGCCAGGCTGCTCTCGAACTCCTGACCTCAGGTGATCCAGCTGCCTCAGCCTCCCAAAGCACTAGGATTACCAGCATGAGCCACTGTGCCTGGCCATGCCTGGCTAATATATATATTATATATAATATATATATATATTATATATATATTATATATATATAAATTATATATATATATTTTTTAAAAAATATATATATATATATATCGGGTCTTGCCATGTTGCCCAGGCTGGGTGAACATTTTTGACTATGTGGCCAGGGAAGGTCTCATTGAGTAAAGTCTGGAAGGAATTCTGGGGAGTGTGCCAGGTGACTGGGTGAAAAAACATCCCAATCAGGGGGAATTTAACTTACAAAGGTCCATGGCTTCTCGGCAACCTATGCGCACACTCAGAGGTTCTCAGGATAGGTGCAAATCTAACCCCTATTTTTTGCTTTAGAATGCAACACTGGCGGGGCCAGGCGCAGTGGCTCACTCTTGTAATCCTAGCACTTTGGGAGGTAGAGGCGGGTGGATCATCCGAGGTCAAGAGTTTGAGACCAGCCTGGCCAACACAGTGAAACCCCGTCTCTACTAAAAATACAAAAATTAGCCAGGCATGGTGGTAGTCCCAGCTACTCAGGAGGCTGAGGCGAGAGAATCGCTTGAACCCGGGAGGTGGATCCTGCAGTAAGCCGAGATCACACCACTGTACTCCAACCTGGGCGACCAAGCAAGACTCCATCTCGGGGGGGAAAAAAAATGTAACCCAGGGTTAAGATTTTTAGAAGGTCACATTTTGTAGCAATGTCAGCAAACAGCAATGTTGCCTTTGCAGGTCCTTGTATTTCAGAGCCCATATATTTGGTCATCATGATGATCGAATTTAGATCTCAGACATTTTGGTAGTTTCCTGATAATCTCACAGGCCTCAGGGCCAGTGTGTCTCAGGTGTCTGTCTGGTGGGGGAGATTTCTCTGGATGGTCCAGAAGGAGATAATCTGCTTCTTACTCTCCTGCAAGCTCTCCCCGCAGCCCTGCAAAGTCTTCTGGGTCTGGTAGGGTCTGCAGAGAAATTTCTGTCTCCTGAGTCAGCAGGAAGTTCCCAGACTAGCCCTAGGTGGCTTTAGGGGAGGAGCTCTGGGCAGGGAGCCAGGGGCCCGTGCCGCATACCTGAAGCCAGGTGTGTCTTTGGAATGCCTTTGCACTTCCTGTTTGTCACCTGGACCAGGGCTAGCCTCGGTCTCAGAGTCTCCCAACCCCAAGTTCCTGCCTTGTGTCTCCCTTAGTGAGAGTGAAGTTGAGTCAATGGCAAGGTTCTGGTTAGTTTGGGGACACAGGGTGGCCATAGGTCAGCCAAAGGCCAACTAAGTCATTCTCCTGCCTCTGAGTCCTTTGGGATCATTTATTCGGGCACAGAAGAGAAGAAGGGGGCAGAGTCAGGCATCAGACCAAGCATGGGGAGAGGAGAGGGAATTATTCATGTTCCAGTTGGATCATAAACATGTGTCCACGTGTGGGGAGGGATGTGGAGGGTGGGAACCACCAGCACAGGCGATACAAACACAGATGTATGCAGGACTCGCTTTTGACATTGGACGAACATTGCTGGAGCACTTGCTGTGCACCAGGCTCTGTTCTAGAACCTAGAGATACAGTGACTAAGGAGATTAAAGCCTGGCACCGCCCTACCCTCCAGAGCTTGCAAGAGAGACCACAAACAAGCGCGAGATGAATGGAGAAGACAGATCATTTCTAAGAGTTATCAATGAAAGTGATAAGCCAGGGAGATGTGATAAAGGAGGCTGGACAGGACAACCTCTCCTATAAAGTGACATTGGAACTGAGACCTCAGTACAGAAGGAGGCAGTTAGGCAAAGATTTCGAGGAGTCGTCTGGGTGAGGGGTACAGTAAGGGCAAAGGCCTGGAGGTGAGGTGGACTTGCTTTTTATATTTTACATCATCAAGGCGGCTGCTGTAGCCGGAATACCATGAGCAAGGAGCAGATAGGAGGGCAGCGATGTTAGAGAGATCAGGAGGAGAGACCGGGCAGAAACTGGTGGACTTTGAATTTTAATCTCTACTGCCCAAGGGTTTTAAGTAAAAGGAGGAGCCCGATCTGATTCGCCGTTTAAAAGGATCACTCAGGCAAAATGGAAACAATGGCTTTCTGTGCTGCACAGGAAATACACTTAGGGGATCACGCCCAGGTGAGCCCGGGCACACCGACACGCGTAATGCACAGCGACCCACTCATTCGCGAGGCGACCTCTTCTACCCCAGACCCTCCCTGCGAGCCGATGGCCCCACCTGGAAAGAGAGGACGCCCCATCCCAATAATCTTGGTTCTGGATCTGCCCTGGGGCTCCACTCACCTAGGCAGGACCCGCGGGGCTCCCACGAGGCTGGGACCAGGCGGAAGCAGAGGCTCTGCGGGCTCGGGGCTGCTGTCACCCCCGCCCTCCACGTTGCCACCGCCCCCGCCTTCCGAGACCACACCTAGTGGGAACCCAGCCCAGTTACCTGACCACGGCTCCTGCAGGCCCCGCCCCCTGCAGGCCCCGCCTCAAACTAACTTCCCAGGCTCTTGCTCCGCCCCCTTGAAACAATTTTTTTTGCTTCTAGCCACGCCCCCTGTGCGTGGCACTGCTTTCTCCATAGAACCGGCCCACTAGGGGAGCACTGCGCATCTTTTCCTGTCAATGGCCCCGCCCCTTGTACATAGCCACGCCCACCCCGAGTGACTACGCCCACTCGCAACCACCTCCTTCTTAGCCCCGCCCCTTAAGGAAATAGAACAAATTTCATCCCAACGTTCCCGCCCCTTAGAACCCGGCCTCTCCCTTCCACCCAGGCGGCCCCAAGCACCCATGGTCCTTTGGTACCAGGGTGGGGTGGGGTGGGGTATCTCTCTCCCTTCCCCGCCAAGGCTCTGGGTCAGGGCAGGGCAACTCCCTCGGGCTCTTACGCCAGGCTGGGGTAGCTGCGGCGGCTGTGACGTAAGGAGGGGTGCGCTTCCTCCAGACCGCCCTCCTGGATTTTCCGGAAAGAAGCCCCATTTGGGTGGCGGGTTTTGTGGAGAGATATCCGGGAAAACGCGACAGCTTCCTTCAGTGACAGCACGCTGGAGGGGGGAGGGACTTTGGGGGAGGTGGAAGGCAAATCATTCAGGTGGTTTCCTAGGTGGGAGGAAGGGTAGGGGGGGACTTCCATCATGATGCCTGGAGATGAACAAGAGAAAAGGTGACAGGGACCTAGTGCAAGAGAGAGGACGCTTTGGCCACGTTTATTGATAAGTTCCTCATATTAACATCAGTCTTGTCTTGTAGAGACGGTGTCTTGCTATATTGCCCAGACTAGAGCGCAGTGGCCTGATCATAGCTCACCGTAGCCTCAACTTCCTGGGCTGAAGCGATTCTCCCGCTTTAGCCTTCCAAGCAACTGAGGCTAAAGGTGCACACCACCACGCTCAGCTAATTTTATTTTATTTTTTTGTAGAGATGGGGTCTTAGTATGCTGCCCAGGCTCTGGAACTCCTGGGCTCATGCGATCTTCCTGCCTTGGCCTCCCAGAGCGCTGGGATTACAGACATGAGCCACTGTGCTTGAGCCAGTAACCACAGTCTGAAAAGCAGTAGCAGCAGCTAACATTTATTGAGCACTTACTGTATACCAGGGCTGTTCTGTCAACTCGCTTTTTTTTTTTTCTTTTTGAGATGGAGTTTCACCCTGGTTGCCCAGACTGGAGTGCAGTGGTAGCAATCTCAGCTCACTGCAACCTCCACCTCCCAGGTTCAAGCGATTCTCCTGCTGCAGCCTCCCGAGTAGCTGGGATTACAGGCTAATTTTTGTATTTTTGGTAGAGACGGGGATTCACCATGTTGGCCAGAGTGGTCTCAAACTCTTGACCTCATGTGATTCACTTGCCTTGGCCTCCCAAAGTGCTGGGGTTACAGGTGTGAGGCCTCTATTTTACTTTTCAAACAGACCACCCTGTAAGGGTGATAGGTAGTATTTTCATCACTTCCATTTTCCAGCTGGAGACACTGAGGCACAAGGCAGCTAAACCATTTGCCCAAGTTAACCTGGCTTGTAAGTGGTAGAGGCGAGAATCAAACCCGGAGCTCCGGAGTTTCATCCTGTCTGCCTCCCTTTCAATCTTTGCATGCCTACTTTCTCCAGGATGCTGCTTTGCAGTGAAAGTTACTCACCCACCATTTTACAGATGAGGAAATTGAGACCTAGAGGGCCAAGGATGCTTGGGGATGAAAAGTTTTGATGCTGTAGGGTTGCAAAGCAGGGAATTTCCAGACTGGGCTCCCCCCACCGGCCCTGGCCAATGTGGAAGAGACTCCAAGCTCAAGAGCGGAAGAACGTTTCTTCCTTATCCCCCATCGGTCTAGTATTGGTACAGTCAGAGGCTATGGGCCTGTCCAGGTCTAGCGCCTCCTCGTGGTTATAATAATTTAAAAAGAGGGCCCAGTATTTTGGGAGGCGGAGGTGGGCAGATCACCTGAGGTCAGGAGTTTGAGACCAGCCTGACCAACATGGTAAAACCCTGTCTCTACTAAAAATACAAAATTAGCTGGGTGTGGTGGCGTGTGCCTGTAATCCCAGCTACTGGGGAGGCTGAGGCAGGAGAATCACTTGAACCCGGGAGGCGGAGGTTGCCGTGAGCTGAGATGCACCACTGCACTCCAGCCTGGTCAATAGAGCAAGACAAAAAAAAAAAAAGACACTATTGCAGTCTATAAGGAGAGGGATGTTGGTAGCTTGGATATGGGTGGTGGCCATGGACATGATGATAAAGGGATGGATTTGGGATAAATGTCAGGTGCAGTCAATAGAGCTTTCAGTTATTCATTCAACACGTATTTACGAGGCATGCATATGTGCCAGGTGCTGCATAAGAGAGGGGTCAGTAGTGAACCAAAGAGACACAAATTCCTGAATAGACAATAAAGAAACAAGGATGACCGGGCGTCATGGCCCACATCTGTAATCCCAGTGCTTTGGGAAGCCGAGATGGGAGGATTGCTTGAGGCCAGGAGTTCAAGACCAGCTTGGGCAACATAGTAAGAGCCCCTCTCTGCAAAAAAGTTTAAAATTAGCCAGGCACAGTGGCACAAGCCTGTAGTTCCAGCTACTTGGGGGTCTGAGGCGGGAGGATCACTTGAGCCCGGGAGCTTGAGGCTGCAGTAAGCTATGATCATGCCACTGCACTCCAGCCTGGGTGACAGAAGAAAGAGGCTGGGCACAGTGACTCAAGCCCATAATCCCAGCACTTTGGAAGGCCAAGGCGGGCAGATTACTTGAGGTCAGGAGTTTGAGACCAGCCTGGCCAACATGCTGAAAACCTGTCTGTGAAAATACAAAAATTACCTGGGCATGGTGGTAGGTGCCAGTAATCCCAGCTGCCTGGGAGGCTGAGGTGGGGGAGAACCTGGGAGGCGGAGCTTGCAGTGAGCTGAGATCATGCCACTGCACTCCAACTTGGGTGACAGAATGAAACCCTGTCAAAAAAGAGAAAGAGAAAGAGAGAGAGAGAGAGAGAAAAAGAAAGAAAGAAAGAAAGAAAGAAAGAAAGAAAGAGAAAGAAAGAAAGAGAAAGAAAGAGAAAGAAAGAAAGGAAGGAAGGAAGGAAGGGAGAAAGAAGGAGAGAAAGAGAAAGAGAGGGAGAGAGAAACAGAGAGAGAAAGAGAAAGAAAGAAAGAAACAAACAAAGAAAGAAAGAAAGAAAGAAAGACAGGGCATGGTGGCTCACGCCTGTAATCCCAGCACTTTGGGAGGCTGAGGCGGGTGGATCACCTGAGGTCAGGAGTTCGAGACCAGCCTGACCAACATGGAGAAACCCCGTCTCTACTAAAAATACAAAATTAGCTGGGTGTGGTGACGCATGCCTGTAATCTCAGCTACTTGGGAAGCTGAGACAGGAGAATCACTTGAGCCCAGGAGACGGAGGTTGTGGTGAGCTGAGATTGTGCCACTGCACTCCAGCCTGGGCAATGAGAGTGAAACTCAGTCTCAAAAGGAAAAAAAGAAAAAGAAAGAAAAGAAAAGAAAGAAAGAAAAAGAAAGAAAGAAAGAAAAGAAAGGAAGAAAGAGAAAGGAAGGAAGAAAGGAAGAGAGAGAGAAAGGAAGGAAGGAAGGAAGGGACAGAAAGGAAGGAAGGAAGAGAAAGGAAGGAAGGAAAAAAAGAAGAAATAACTATAAAAAAATCAGATTTGTTGGATGAAGATCAGGCTTAACCTAGGGAAGTGGGTAGGGCTGATGGAATGTGGAAAAGGCTGTGATTTGAAATCAAGGGGTTTAGGAAGACCTCATGAGAAGGTAGCATTTGAGCAAAGACCTGTAGGGGTGAGGGAGCTAGCCGTGAAGTTGCTTAAGGTGGAGGACACAGCCCATGCAAAGGCCCTGGGGCAGGGCCATATGTTGCTGGCACGTTGGAGGAAGAGTGAAGAGGCCCATGTGGCTGAAGCACAGTGAAGAGGGGGAAAGAGGGAGTGGGGAGGGCAGGGACGGAACTGGGCAATTCAAGCAGGGTTTTGTGGGCCTTGGGGAGGACTTGGGCTTGTCCCTGGAGGAAAGTGGGAGCCATAGAGAGTTGTGGGCAGAAGAGGGGTGTACCCTGACTCAGATGCTCACAGGCAACCTCTTGTGGTGGCTGCAGGGAGGACAGACTGTGGGGGACAGGGGCTGGAGTCAGGAGACCAGCTGAGTGATGATGGGGCTGGACCAGACCGAGGAGGGGGTGAGAAGTGGGTGAATTCTGGGTATATTTCAGAGTGTCACTGCCGCTGTCTGCATATGGAGGAAGCACGCCCGTCTCATAGTCTAGCTGGCCTGACTCCCCCAGCCCCCCAACTCCCGGTGCCCAGGCCTGTGTCGAGTGGGCGGAAGAAAGAGATGTCAGATTGTACATGGAAGGGGTGGGGTGGGGCTGGGCCGCAGGTGCTCCCCCAGCTCCCCCCCACCCCCCCCCGCCCCATGGCTCCTCCTCCTCCACCCCCTCTCAGGGCAACAGTTACAGGCAAAGAAGAGGAAGTGGTAGCACTAGCTGTCGCTCCACAGGCGAGCAGGGCGGGCGTGCGGGCGGGTGGGTGGTGGAGGCCGCGAGGGTGCACGACCGGCCCTGAGCAGGCAGCAGCCATGGAGCTGTGGCGCCAGTGCACCCACTGGCTCATCCAGTGCCGAGTGCTGCCGCCCAGCCACCGCGTGACCTGGGATGGGGCTCAGGTGTGTGAACTGGCCCAGGCCCTCCGGGATGGTGTCCTTCTATGTCAGCTGCTTAACAACCTGCTACCCCATGCCATCAACCTGCGTGAGGTCAACCTGCGCCCCCAGATGTCCCAGGTGAGCCCTCCGCCGGCAGGTGTGCTGAGGGTTGGAGACGGGGGTCCTCCCCGGGGCTGACAGTGGAGGGGTTGACGTGCTCCACCTCTGGGCCTGCAAAGGAAGGGGGATATGCTTACAGGTCCAAGGCTGGGCCAGGGGGTGGTCACAATCTGAGATTCTGGGGTAGCCTCCCCAAGCTTAACAGGACCCCTGTGTGGGTCCACGGGCCCTGAGTTGGCCCGCA